GTGTGTGTGTGCTTTTTGTTTTTATTTTAATATTACTTTCTTTTTTCTTTCTTTCTTTCTTGCTGTCTCTTTGCGGAGGGTGGGTGGGTTTACTTTCTTCTACTGCTGTAACGATTCCTCTATTTAGAAGTGGTTAAATGCAGGTAATATTTCCCTGCGTTTAGTACTTGAGGTCATGCAACGTGTCGCTCAAGTTGCAATTACATGTATCTATTACTTGGGTCAATACATGCAAGTCTAGTCGACGGCGTCGGTGGAGGTGGGGACGCGTGTGTGATTTCTCCCGCGTGGGGCTTTGTCGTGTGCCTGCCCCCGCAAAACTGCCCCTCTTCCCCCCCCCCCCCCACGCCCTGTTGCAATTACTCTTACTTCTGCTGTCGTTTTGGTTTTCGCTCTTGTTTGCTCGGGGCGTTCAGCAGTCGCCGCTGGCGAGCGTGATAGAGGCACAGCCACCAAAGCAGGGCCAGCAATTCACTGAAGCGGAGGTCGCGGCTTGTTTTTGTAAACGAGCCGACAGTTATTCTTGCTATTGATTTTTTTTTGTGTGTGTCTGTGTGCCCACTCCCCCAGACGCGGACAGACAGCCGAAGATGAGCTCGCGGTGCAGCAGCGCGCCGCCGTCGAACCAGCCGCCGAATAACTCGCCCAAAAGCTCCCGCGCGGGCACGCCAAGTCGGCCTCCCCGCACACTCTCCGCAAAGGCGGTAGGGCGGCGAGGCAGAAAGAGGTGCGCGTCTCCCATGGCTCGCCGCATGTCTCTCAAGAGTCGCCAGGAGTTTCGCAGTCGTGTGTTGGATGTGGCACCGCTTTTCATGGTGGAAGGTGCGGTGCGGTATGCTGAGGTTGTCAATGAGCGCACGGCCTGGACTGCTGAGTGTGACGGCTCCGTCGGTGTGCGGAGCATTCCAAAAGGAACTGAGCTGCGAAACCTTTCAGGGCGAGAGGGCGTCTTCTGCAACTGTCTTTTGTTTGTCGTAAAAACAGGAAAGGTGTGGACCGCCTTCAGTGATGGTTTTATCCGCGTCTACGACGCCAATACTTTCTCCATGGAGAATGAGTTTGTGCAGCACAAAGGGGCGGTGGAGTGTATCGCTGAGATGGAGGGTCGTATTTATACGGGTGGGCGGGACTGGAAAATATACCAGTGGGTGCCTGAGAGCTACCACTACGAGCGACAATTCTCGGGGCACGCCAACGCCGTCCGGTGCCTCTGCCCATACACCGGAAGCACAGGGGCTGTGCTGTTTACAGGAGGCGACGATGGCATGGTCAAGGCCTGGAATCCGTACCTCCCAGAGAAGCAGTCGAAGGAAAACGATCCCTGCATGCACACCTTTGAAGGACACACACGCGGGGTCTGGGCGTTGGAGCTCGTGCGCCCAAACAACCAGCTGTGGTCGGGGGGCGAGGACACCAGCATCCGGGTTTGGGATCTTCAGTCGTTAAGGTGCGTCACTGTGTTGGAGCACCACAACTCCCCCGTTGCCTGCTTGACACTCGTGGGGCACCGTGTCTGGAGCGGCGACAAGCATGGCCGCATTCTCCTGTGGGATCTAAAAACCCTCTCCCCCCTGCAGGAGCTCTCGCAGCAGATGCCGGAGGGGCACAGAACGGTGCTTGCCATACGAAAGTTGGTCCCGGCAGTGGCCTGGAAGGTGTGGACCACAGGCTCTGCGGGTCACATTTACTGCTGGAATGCCGACTCCATGCCGCTGCTGTTTGACCACAGCACAAGCGGAGAGATGCTACCGCACACGGACGAGGAGCGTGTGCGGGCGCTTGAGCGAGACAACGAGGCGCTTCGCGCGGAGCTTGCGAGACTGGCAAAGCAGCTGAAGAAGGAATACAAGCGTGCCATGCTTGAGTTCTCCCACCAGGTGCAGGACAAGCAACCCCTCCTGGACAGCGATGACGGCCTGCGACAGAAACTCCGTGGGAGGCAGCGATCACAGAGTGCCGGCAACGCCGGGGCCGCCAAAAAAGGAGACCGCTCGTCGCACACAAGCCCCGCCTCTCCCCTCTCTAGACGCGTTGTGTCGCCGGCACCGTCAAGCGCTCTCTCAGTCGCCGCTGATCAAGCGGGGGCGGGCGTGCGCAGTGACGTGCCCTCCTCGCTCCTTTTCACGAGGACCGTGGACCACGCGGACTCGGCGCCCATCATTACAACGCACGAGCGCTTCTTTCCTGGCAGCGAATGGAGCGAGATCCTGCCTCGCAGCGAAGCGGAACTCCGCATGGCGTTCACGCGTGAGGCGGCGCAGGCGCTGGGCCTACCTGCTGACCACTTCCAGCGCCTCTCGCTGCGGTCCACGCCTCACGGGCTTATTGCCTCAGTCGCCGTCCAGCACCCCTCGTCTATACACGCGGACGACGTTCAACGCCACCTCGAAGAACACCCTTTTCTTGACGTTCTCAACCGATACGCAGACGCATTGGCGAAGAGCAACAAGGCACTCAAGGAGACCATTGCCCACGGTAAAGATGAAATTAACTCAACCTTGCCATCAAAAGACAATGACAATAACAATGCACCAAACAGCCCTTTCGTCAAAAGAGCAAAGGACAAAGAAATAGACAAGTTGAACGATGAACTTAAAAGAGTCAAGAAAGCCTATCAAAGGCTGCAAAAAGAGCATCAGGAACTACATAAACGACTGAATACAGTGGAGCCTCCGGGCCGCATCAACGCCCAGGAGGAGTACGAGGCGCTGAAGAGCTTCGTGGACGGCTCCCTCAAGCCGCAGATCTCGCGGCTGACGCGGATGAACGGGGAGAAGGACCTTGACCTGCGCGCAAACGAGGAGCGCATCAGGCAGCTGCTGCGGGAGCTGGAGCTGCTGCAGAAGAGGCCGGCGGCGAAGGAGCCTCCGGGCCGCATCAACGTCCAGGAGGAGTACGAGGCGCTGAAGAGCTTCGTGGACGGCTCCCTCAAGCCGCAGATC